ACACCATGGATTTCTTGGTTGAGTCGTTTGACTGCGAACGTTGTCCCCTACATCTTTAACAGCATTAGCACAATCCTCATTCATTAACCGAATAACCGTCACGAGACTAGCTTTTTAGCTTTCCGCAGCTACTAATTTAGAACTGGTTTCGGACAATAGACATTCAAGTTTATGTACGTCAGATTTAAGTGCCATATTTGCTTTTTTTAATAAGTCGTTTTCTTGGGCAAGTTGATTATCTCTCACTTGGCTATTACGAATTTCACTGATTATTCCCAACTATGATTATTCCCATCATCCTTTAGCGCCCATATTGCACATTTGACTATTGTCTCAGTGACACTCCAATTGAAATAGCTGTATAACTAGTTAATACGACGTTGCATCCATTACAAAAAAACATAAATAAAAAACACAGGAACGTAAAAATGAGGCGAAAAAAACTCACTAAAATGAAGCATTTTATCCCCATATCGGTTCCGCATCCGCTCCGTGGATCCGCTCGGTTCCCCATCCGCTTCCGCATTTTAACCTAATTGTGACACGTTTCACAATAACTAGACTACACAATAACAAGTCTCATTGACCTTTGACTTTATATTCCCAAGATCAGTTCAAGTTGTTTTTCATGACTCATTTTCAGCTTTTCGCAAGTATTCAATGTCACTTTAGATGTCAATAGTTTCACAGTTATAGCAGTGTAGCAACTTATACAGTCGACGTATGATGAACATACGGTCTAAACAATATATATCGGCACTTAAAGGTTTAAAAGTATTAATTGAATGCCGGTAACTGAATACAAAACATCAATTTATATATTGCGTAGAATCTGAAAGATTTTCTCAATATTCATGTCTGAAATGTTTATATATTTGAAAACAATACTGTATCGCTCCTTCCTAGCTCTGTATGAATATACCGTCAAAATAATATCGACACTTTTAATAATTCAATGCCTAGATCTAGAATCTCGAAGATTTTCTCAATATTTACGTCTGAAATGTTTATACATTTGAAAAAAAAGCACTGTCTAGCTTCTTCCCAGCTCTGTATAATGAATATAACGTATAATGAGTATCAGTAATTGATTGAATGCCCATATGCATAACAACAATTTATATATTGCGTAGATTCTCAAAGATGTACTTAATATTCACGTCTGAAATATTTTAATATATTTGAAAACAAACTGTGTCGCTCCTTCGTAGCATCGTCACGCCATCGTTGATCTACTGCTTGATAGCGCAGGCGCATTTGCGCTGCTAAAGAAAAATCGGGTGTTCCGGGGGGAAAGATCCTTTACACAACATGAAAAGCGAATGTTCTAAAATTTACAAAAATTTACAATAACGACAACGATTCCTCGAAATTTTTGTGAACTTGGCAAAAGGCCTAAAGAATATTGAAATAAGACAACTGAAATTGCCTAAATAACCTTCAAAGCACTAAGTACAATAAATCACCACGAACATAAATCGTGTACACCCCCCGGATTGTTTACACTATAGATCGATCCATTGATCCGTCACTCGATTGAACTTTTCTCCTAACAATAGTGCAAAGTGACTTTGCACTAAAAAGTGTTACGAAAGTATATCTAAATAGTATAAAAATAGTTCACTTTGCACCCCAGGTAATTATAGATACTATAGTTACGTCAAATGGAGAGATAATGAGCATTTTTGCAGCAAAACACAGATAAAGTATATCTCATTTCGGACTTGTGTAAAAGTGTCAATTATCTGTCCATTAGGCAAGATAAATAATTTCTCAAAGTTGGACGATAACCTTGCATGGTGGGCTGTTGTGTTTACATAATTCAAAGTCCAAGGCTGGTTCTTCTTTGACATGAAAATGTGCATGCTTAGGGCATTTCTGTCAATCATTCTTCGGTATATTTCGCGCGGTTGAGTAATGATAACATTACGTCATCAAAATCTTGGTTCAATAAAATTGTAAGTAAATTTAGTTTAGTAGGTAAAGTAAGGTTCACATAGGTATAGGTTGAAGATTTTACTATGATATTTTGATAAGTATTTTAAGTTGTGAACATATTTTAATATTGATCGGTTGAACAGCGAACCAACTCGACAAGTGCGACAACGCCTTAAATAAACATAATTTGAGGGCTGGAACGAGCTACCACCGCCAACCCCACTCTTAAACCTCAACGTTGATTGGCTGGATACAAATCACACCACTTGCAAAACCCCTCAACCGTTAGTATAAAAGGGCGTGCACAACCCAAATTCGTGAGTGGACTATCGAGTGAAGTGAGTGGACGTAGACGAAGTAAAGCTTACATGATGAAAAGCTACGAAAACTCAAAACGAAATAGCACGGACAAAGAAGACACACTAAAGACAACGAAGATTTAAACGCTGAAGTGAACTTTAAGGAAACCACTACAAGAAAACGAACGTGAACACGAAGGAACAAACAGTATTGAACATTTAAGAACTGATAGTTATTAGAGATTGGTTGTAAACGCTTCCTACCTCGCGTAGAAAAACGAAATAAAAAATAAACATTTCTAACAAAAGGATTAAAATTCCAATCGTCAGGGTAAAATATGAACACATATATCTACAAGCAATATTTATACTAAGGTCCAACCGCCTACCTGGCAAACAGCCGTGTCAAAATATACTAATTAAAATTCTAGTTATACCAATTGATAAGAAGCTATTGAATAGAGTACAAAAGAGATTAGAAACTAATCAACCGTGCTTAATTGTCTGAATAATGTTAAATTATTTAGACTTAAATTATAGTCCAAACGTAAAGAATTAAAATGTTTGTCCATTGTATTTTGACAGAAGCGGTACATACGAATCGGGGACAATGACCAATGAATGACTTTAGCTTTTAATTTTAATTACAGGTTTTATAAATGTATGGTTATAATAGTTTTGTTTGTGGAAACAAAATATATTATAGATTTTCTATAATAAACGGTTGTTCCACACACATTTTATACATGAACTTGTGGTTAGAGCTCAACAACTGGCGTCTGTAGCTCAGTTGGTTAGAGCGCTGCACCGGAATCATAGGGCCCGTACACGTTCGATTCCTGCCAGGGACCTTTTAGTTGCTTTTTTCGCAGCTGTTCCTGGTTAAGTCTAATGAATGTTTTAAAAAAAACTTGTTAACAATTCATGAGGAAAAGACAAATGAAATCAAAACCGTCGGTGGTTTTGTATGTCATAAAAAATCATGTTCATTTAAGGCCGGCGCACACTAGAGCTATGTGCTTAGCAAAATGTAATTCGTGACTGTTGGCGTAAGGAGATAGCTCTCGTGTGCGGGCGATTTACGAACGACTTTTGTCATTCGTACCACTTACGCCAAATATCTAACATGTTTGATAATTTCTGCCTCGCGTGCCAAAATCTTTCCGTGTGCGGCGAACGAAAGCTATCTGCTTACGGATTGTCGTAACAGCGCATGCGTAGTATACGAAAGTAAACATCCAAGATGGCGGCGCAAAATGAATTGCTGGCCGAGGCAATTTTAGAGGACAAACTTACTGGCTATTTCTTTCACCGCACATTCCCTTTTGTCCCTATTTCTAAAATCTGCAGAACTCACATCGTATAAACATTTATATTCAGGCCAAAGTTCGACAAGTTTGTCCTCTAAAATTGCCTCGGCCAGCAATTCATTTTGCGCCGCCATCTTGGATGTTTACTTTCGTATACTACGCATGCGCTGTTACGACAATCCGTAAGCAGATAGCTTTCGTTAGCCGCACACCGAAAGATTTTGGCACGCGAGGCCGAAATTATCAAACATGTTAGATATTTGGCGTAAGTGGCACGAATGACAAAAGTCGTTCGTAAATCGCCCGCACACGAGAGCTATCTCCTTACGCCAACAATCACGAATGACATTTTGCTAAGCACATAGCTCTAGTGTGCGCCGGCCTTTACATAAACTTTAGCTTTAATTTTCTCGGTTTAGACAACGTTTATTTTTGGAGTGCGTGCTGATAAAACACTCCTGCTCGTGTTTTAAATAATACATAAATTTCCACTTGATAATTTCCATGTACAATACCTGAACTATTTCACAATTTAGTCTATTGTGAAAAGAACATTTTCGTAGCCCCAGCAACTCGTTACGTCACGCGAGCAGAGAGTCAAGTCGTTGCGTAAAATTATCAAATTTCTACCTTATTTCTACGATTATGCGGCTCAAAATTATAAAAGAATTGTGGATAAAGTATTTATCAGTTCTTTGTATGTTTGCATGGCGATAAAACATATAATAGTTTTGTTTGCGGAAACACCACGTAAATTTATTACTGCAAAGCTTTCGATCCGTAAGCCCGGATATTCATCAGTGCTAATTATATAATATGTGACTTGTTTAATTCACACGGCTTTTTTATATATAAAAGTGAATTGGGATCGAGAAGCACAATATTATAGATCAGGAGGGAAAGTCATTAGATAGTACGTGGCGTGCTCTCTTTAATGTGCGAAATTAATTTCTCTCGTCTTGGATGCGCGCGCGTTAATTAGAATCACTTCACTACGTTTGAAATGACGTGTGGTTGACGTGCCGTTTAATTAAATTTTAAATGACGCGAGCCAACAGATCACGACACTTTTGTATATAAGAAAGGGCGTGTGAATTAAACAAGTCGCATATTATTAGCACTGATGAAGATCCGAGCTTACGGATCGAAAGCTTTGCAGTAATAAATTTACGTGGTGTTTCCACGAACAAAACTATTATAAAGTATTTATCTTTGGGAAAGTGAAGCTGGTTTGGTAACATTTTAAGGTAGCTCCATACAGTTCCGTAGTATAAATACCTTATTGCGTAAAAATTTCAATTTATAAATTTTATCACTTTATCTATTAATTTTAAACATTCCCAAGTATAAATTAAGTATTTGGTAGAAATAATTTGCAATATTCCTGAACATAATATTGTTTCCATGGTAACAGTAGTCTCACCAAACATGGTTTGGTAGAAATAATTTGCAATATTCTTGAACATAATATTGTTTCCATGGTAACAGTAGTCTCACCAAACATGGTATTTTTTGCTATTTTAAGCAGGTTTTTATTCTATTAGCCTTCACTTATAAGGAATCTTATCCCTGAAAATAAAAAAATTCTGTAGATTAGCCAGAATAAAAAATTGCCGATTTAGAGTTTTCCAATCTACAGATTGTTTTTAAATTTTGATATTCTATTTGTTTTAAAAGAAGTTATCGTTGTGCAAAATTTCATCACATGTCACCGTGCAAAATTTTGAATTACGCCGTTTTATTGTGGTATCTCACTCGCTAGGCCGAAAGTTTTTCGAGCTCTGCAAGATCAATGAATTGACATGCGCGTACATGTTTTCGCAGGCGCATCCCAAGAAAAACTCGCACAAAAAAGTTTTTAGAACAAATAAGAATAAGGAAGACTCAAAACATCAAAATAAACATGACTTGTGGTTCGGATTTTAGACTAAAAAAGTTGTATTTATTTTTGTATATATTTGTAATATTTTCGCGCGAAAACTCAAGATTAGCTACCAGTCCCCCGATGATGAAAAGTGTATGGAGCCACCTTAAATATTTGCTCTGTTATTTGTGAATTATTTATCAAATTGCAAGAAATTTTACAGCCGATTCACAAGCACATACAAGCTGAATGGACAGTTGAATTTGGCGTGCGCATACGACCACATGATATACATGCGTGAATCAAAGAACGCTTTAATGAACTGTGTTTGACTCGAACAAGTGTGGACTTACTTGTCATAATTTAATTGTTACCTCTTGGAAAATACGAATATGCTTAAAAACCCGCCAAATCATGGCTACACGTTTCATCTCAGCTATCGCTATTAGACGGTTACTTCATTATACGAAAATACAATGAGCTCATTCACCGTGACCGTGCACAAATTAACATAAACTCAGACAAAAACATAATACAATGACTTCTGTTTAGTTTCCAGACCATCATATCTTGATAGACTATGATCAGTGTCATTTTGGATCATGTGTCTCATGGTACTTTTCTTTCTGGCTTTCAAATCTGCTGTGAACATCATCGAAAATGCCACTGGAAAATACATTCCTATTTCCTCGCAGGGAACTTGCCATCTTACCAGACAAAATGTGTTTCATCTGGGCTTCTACGCATGATAGAAAGTTTCGAAAGTTCACTCTTCCCGACAAACATCGCTACGGACTGCATGGAGTTTCAAATATCTCGCAAATGTTCTCTTGCTGATGACATAGCTATCAACACAGGTCCTATAGTCGTCTCACTTGAATTCTCCGTTGACAATTCAACAACTTCCCGAGCCTTGTGGTTACCCAATAGATCACTACATGGTGTAGTTTGAAGTGAAGCTGAAAAGAGCTAAGTCAGTAAAGTCTTGAGTATTTGAGTTTCAGGAAAAGGAAATTTCGATGAGCCACTGTATGTAACTTTCTGACACGATTCCTCATCAATGTTACTCCAACTGACAGTATTGATGACTTGGAACAATGTAGGGCTACTTTCAGGTACATCCCGATGAGAACGGTCAAACACACAAATAGTCCACTATGGATCGATAGTGAATTGTGTCGTCTAATCTGTAAGATGTACAAAGTTCTAAAGCAATATTGCATGAACAAATCTGCTGATCGAAATTGTAAATTACGAAGCATTACTCAATAAATCAAATAGGATTCGAAGGAAACACAGGCTAAAATAGAAATTTCATTCTGTGACAACCCCAAACTATTCTGCAGTTACCATAAATCAATTATTCACCACCAGACGGGTTGGATCAATGAAATAGCATATGTCACAGCGTTGGACGGAGAAAGAAAAAGCAGATCTTTTTAACACCTACTTTTCTTCAGTATTTCGTCCACCTTCTACCATGCACCCGTAACTACACGTTTCGAACGGAAAGTGAAGGGAACATCTCGGAAATAAGTCTTGTTGTAGACGAAGTTGTGCAATTTTTGTGTGCTCTTGAAACCTCAAAAGAATGTGGCCCTGACAGCATACCTCCTCGCCTCTTACAAGTATGCGGCCTTGAAATCACACCAAGCGTCTGTGAGTCGTTTAACCGTTCCTTGCACACTGGTCATGTTCCCTCCGGGTGGAAATGTGCGAATGTCACACCCATCCATCTTGCGTTACTCAACTACTATCAGTACTACACGGTATTGGAAATCCCTAAACAAAAACATTCAACCTGACGTTATCAACCTCGATTTTGCGAAAGCATTCGACTCTGTCGATCACCAAATTCTTCCCCCACAAGCGCGCATCATATATGGTGTGCCAGGTCAGTTATACGAATGGCTTGTGGACTATCTCAGTGCTCGTTGTTAATAATATAAAAATATAAAGTAAATAATTAAATATAAATATATATAATATATAATTAAATATAAATATATATAATATATATATATAAATATATATAATATATATAAATATATATAAATATATATATATATATATAAATATATATATAAATATATATATATATACCGGGTGTCCCAAAAAAAAGTACTCCTGTTTGATTCGTAATAACTTCTAAACAAGTAAAGCTTTTAAAGAGAAATAACTTGCATTAAATAGAGGAAGGACAAACTTAGATTTTGATATATTACAGTTGTATTTCACTTAAAAATTCACGGAGATATTAATGTTCAAAATCGGGAACATATTTTGGGATGTGTCTAAATTTAGCGAAAATCGGCATATCAAATATTAACTCCAGCGTTTGTTTGCTTAATGACATATCAGGCTATTAAACTTGTATTTCAGCGAATTATCGTTAGGGTTTGTAAGGGATATGGCGTAGATTTAGACATCTTACACGTAGCCTAAGTCTTAGCTCATTGTTTCCTGAAATATGAACGTTCGAAATTATGCAAGTATTTAATATTAGGTCTTTACAAACTTAAAAGTACATGAAAGACTGACCATGGAAGGCAGGCGCTTAAATATTTCTTAAATAGCCTAATTTTTTTATGTTTTTAGTAGGTTCAAACAGACTAAGTTGATTATTTCTCGGTTAGAGCAGGATGAATATTATTCTTTATTGAAGGAAATAGTGTTGCTTTTTGCAAATATACATCACCGTATCAACGCTACTATTTTGTTACGTTTTGTTCCAAAAATGTTGCATGTCTCTGGGGAGTTGCTTAATTGTTATGTCTTATGGAGTTGTATGGTTTGATTGTGTTTCATATAATTCTCAGTTTACTCTGAACTTGCCAAGACTAAGAAAAGGCAAAAAAGTTTGGGTGTTCTTAACAAGATTTCAGAACGTTGCAGAAGTTAGAAGAGCTTCACAATTCCATTGTGACAGCATGCCCTATAATTCAGAACTACGAACGATCCATGACGATCCTTCGCGATGCAGTGGTCTCATGAAATAAGGAAACGTATTCGTACGTGCTAGAAACACACGCGAATTTCGGACGAATAAATCTTGCTTGTATTTTGTAGATATAATAATACTTTGTTTCATAATAAACAATTTGTCAAGTGTCATTTATTTACTGGTAATAGTGCATGTTTCAGTCGGGCAAATCTTGATTAATATTTGATACCCCGTTTTTTGCATATTTCAGACACATCCAGAAATATGCTCCCGATTTTAAACATTAATATCTCCGTGAATTTTTAAGTGAAATACAACTGTAATATATCAAAATCTAAGTTAGCCCTTCCTCTATTTGATGCAAGTTATTTCTCTTTAAAAGCTTTACTTGTTATATATATATATATATATATATATATATATATATATATATATATATATATATATATATATATATATATATATATATATATATATATATATGTATATATATATATGGGCTGAGCACATAGATAATGTAATTAAAAAATTAGCGATCGGCGTTAGTCTTCTACGTAGAAATAGAAAAGTCTTGAAAAAGTGCGATCTTATGAATGTATATAGAGCTATTGTAGAACCTTATTTTGATTACTGTTGTATAATTTGGGATGGCATCAGTGACTATTTGGCGTTAAAGCTTCAAAAAACTTCAAAATCGTGCAGCACGTATTATTACTGGAGCCGACTATTCGCGAAGGTCCAGTGATATATTAAACGAATTAGGATGGGAGAAGTTGAGTGAACGAAGACAAAAATGCAAAGCAGTGATGATGCATAAAATATTAAACCATAAAGCACCGTCATGTTTCTTAGGTTTATTTAGACCAGAAACTGGTGCCAATTTTTATGATCTTCGTTCTTCAACAGAGAATGTCGAACTTCCACTAATTCGAACTGAATATTACAAGAGAAGTTTTGTTTACTCCGGCGCAAAAGTGTGGAACTCTCTTCCTGAAGTTTTGAAAAAAGAGAGTTCATTAAAGCGGTTCAAAGATATTTTAAAAAAATATCCATTTTTCCGCTGATCATTAATTAATTAAATTAATATATATTGCAAACTATAATATACGGCTTACAGGTAGAACAAAACTGTATATGATTTTGATGCAACCACCGTATTGAAATAAAATTTTTAATAATAATAATAATAATAATAATAATAATAATAATATATATATATATATATATATATATATATATATATATATATATATATATATATATATATATATATATATATATATATATAGCTTCTTTGGGTACTTATAATGTAAAATAATGAAAAAAATTTCTCGAACTCAAATTTTGTGAACCAGGGGGGGGGTGTCTTTTCCAACAAACTAAAAATGGCTCGCGCACAAAATTTAAAAGCTGTAATCATATTTTGAGTTAATAGATGGAAAATTTGTCGGGTTTTTAATTACTGTACAAAATTTCAGACAATTTGGTTTAGTTTAAGTCCTTTAACTATTCATTTTGTTCTAAAAAGTCAGCCTTTCGCATGCTTAATTAATGCCTTTACCTAATTTGCATATTGCTGACATATGCAAATTAAGCAAATGCATTAATTAAGCATGCAAATAGCTGAATTTTCGGGAAAATTGTAACTTTGCGTGAATAGTTAAGGGGCTTAAACTAAACCAAATTGTCTGAAATTTTGTACAGTAATTAAAATCCCGACAAATTTTCCATCTATTAACTCAAAATATGATTGCAGCTTTTAAATTTTGTGCGCGAGCCATTTTTAGGTTGTTGGAAAAGACACCCCCCCCCCCTGGTTCACAAAATTTGAGTTCGAGAAATTTTTCTCATTATTCTACATTATAAGTACCCAAAGAGGCTATATATATAAAAAACCGGATACAAATAGCTGTTTTGCGAAATTGAGAGCAATTTTAAATCTGTTCAGTTTTTTTTGATACACCCTGTATATATATATATATATATATATATATATATATATATATATATATATATATATATATATATATATATATATATATATATATATATATATATATATATATATATATATATATATAAATAAATTAAGGTACAACAATCAACAAAATCCACTAGGCATCTTTATTACTAAATAGTTTCGTACCACAAAATGTGGCACTCTTCAGATAAATTGACCTAATGACTATAGATTAAAAGTT